GATAAGCCATTGGGGGCTTTTGTCTGTGACGGATGGGTAGACTAATTGCCTGATTTCAGGATTTATAGAAAGACATTTTAATAAATGTAAAATGGATGCCTCCATTTCATGCGTTCTATTTCCAGGTTGTCAAAGGACCAACAGAAATGCAGCCGTGCCTCTCACCTTATTAAACAATTTGCCTCTTGGCAATTTGCTCAAAGTCCAGATATACCTACCCCTCCACCTAATCAGTTCAAATGCACGAACAGGTAGATCGGAGTTACATTTATACGCTCCTAGTCAAGCAAATTTTGTACTTTGAAAGCCCCCTAGTGTTGGTATCTCCACACGAATCATGAGAACTGAAACAGTGGCTCTAAGAAGCTGAAGAGTGTGGTCTGGGTTAACCCGCTGCGCTTCTTTTGGCTAGTCAACTAGGATATACCGTCACTGGCCGAGAGCCCTTTGAAAATCACTTTACCACTCTGGATGGCAGGTCACACAGATTAAACGTTCTTGTATTTGACCCAAACTGAGCGGTGACATTTAAATGATGCATTGGAAAGCAGTGCCGTTATCCCTCAAAACAGACAATGGTGGTTTAATTAAAAGAGGTTGACAAAGCAGACGTGGAAAAATCAGGATGTCAATCAAGTATCAAGGTGAACATACACCTTGATACGGGGACTAAAATATTTGACTATATAATTTGGGGTTCTAATTCAACAATTTTTGTCAGTAATCATGCCAAAGTAATGGAGAAACAAGTACCTAATGGCTGGGAGGTTAAGTCTGGGGAGAGGATTACAGGGACATATACACATTTTAATATGTATTTCAATGTTTGAATTAAAACATTTTTAAAAATCTTTATTTTTGAGAGAGAGACAGAGTACAACCGGGGGAGGAACAGAGAGAAAGGGAGACACAGAATCTGAAGCAGGCTCCAGGCTCTGAGCTGTCAGCACAGAACCCGAGGTGGGGCTCGAACCCACGAACAGTGAGATCACGACCTGAGCCAAAGTTGGACACTTAACCAACTGAGCCACCCAGGCACCCCTCACTGTTTGAATTTTAAAGAAGACACCCTGACTTTACAATTTAAAAACAGCTAAAATCAGTTCTAGTGATCAGTCATGGGAAAGATACAAACATGAATGGAGACAGCAATCTGTGTGAGCTGGCTTTACAAAGATCAAACTAAAACGCTAATATTTTCAGACCTAGCTAATAGACATTAAGGTAAAAAGTAGCAAAAGGGATAAACAAAGGACAAAATACAGACATTTTTTTTTTATTCAAGAATATGGAAGCTCTTTGGACTCAAAAACACAAACCTTTATTCTATAAAAGTTTTATAATAATCCTTAGTAGTTAGCTCTAAAAAGCCACAGAATACTAAGAATTAAATGTATGACACACAAAAAATCAGGCAACATTGGGGGAAAGTTATTTTTAAATATAGTACATTTCAACAGACAAATTTTACAATGGGAGACCTTTTAATTCAATTTTTCTAATAAAGGGTTTTTCTCGGTTTATTAAAAACATAAAATAGTTTCTTCTGGAACTTTTATAAAATTTATCAAACTGGCAATTTCCTTAGTAACAGGCTGAGCCAGGTGATATACGGAAAACAATTTCCATCTAAGATTAGAAGGCTAATTTTGGTACTACTGCATAGGTTTAGTATTATTGCATAGGCTGCAAATTTATTGCAAGACCATACTAACTTCTTCGGTTCAGATTTGCTGTTGCATCATCCTATTTGCCATCGAATGGTGGAGGCACCACCTTGTGGTAAAAAAAAAAAAAAGCTGCTCAAAAAATTAAAACTAGACCTACCCTATGGCCCAGCAATAGCACTGCTAGGAATTTACCCAAAGGATACAGGAGTGCTGATGCATAGGGGCACTTGTACCCCAACGTTTATAGCAGCACTTTCAACAATAGCCAAATTGTGCGAAGAGCCTAAATGTCCATCAACTGACGAATGGATAAAGAAATTGTGGTTTATATACACAATGGAATACTATGTGGCAATGAGAAAGAATGAAATATGGCCTTTTGTAACAACGTGGATGGAACTGGAGAGCGTTAAGTGAAATAAGTCATACAGAGAAAGACAGACACCATGTTTTCACTCTTATGTGGATCCTGAGAAACTTAACAGAAGACCATGGGGGAGGGGAAGGGAAAAAAAAGAGGGAGGGAGGCAAAACCATAAGAGACTCTTAAAAACTGAGAATAAACTGAGGGTTGATGGGGGTGGGAGGGAGGGGAAAGTGGGTGATGGACATTGAGGAGGGCACCTGTTGGGATGAGCACTGGGTGTTTTATGGAAACCAATTTGACCATAAATTTCATAATAATAATAAAAAAGCTTCTCAATGACAGAAGTCAAAAGTCAGAGGGCAGGGGAGAGCCACTGGGTGGGGCTTCCAGGGCACGAGTGGTATTCTATTTCTTGACCTGCATAGAGATGTCATGAGTGCTGACTTTACAATTATTAAAACACATGACTTTCCTGTTCTTGTACCTTGTAATTTTAAAGGTTTATTTTGGGGAAAAGAAAGGTTTCTATGTACCTGAATTAAGTCTTATGCCTAAATGCTTAAAATTCCTAAGCACCTGGCCAGTCATATATTTATAGAATTTCCTGGAATTACAATACATTCTTAGCCTTATAAATGCACTGCTGTATTTTTATGATAGGAACAAAACACCGAAAAGAGGTATATTCTTTGGTAAATGATGGAAGGCTGGTAAATGATGGAAGGCTCTTTTCCTCAGAATGTTTTCATCGCTGCTTTCTTGGCCTCCAAGAGGAAGTGGAGGTACTCTGCAATCATCTGGAATCACCTCTATACACCTACACTGACATGTCTGGAAACTTCCCACCAAACCCCTAGATTTTACTGCATCAACAGTAAGTATGAAGGGCATACTTAAACTATGCGACAATATCCAATCAGAAAGGATTTTCTTTCCTGTTTCCAGGACGTGACACGCACCGTTAACAAAATGATTCGGATTAAGTGAACAGGGTTTCACCTCTCACTGCCCTGGGATCCCTTTGCCTAGGAGCTAACTGCGTTACTCTTAGTACCTTTTTTTTTTTTATACCATGGAGCAATTTTCAGAAAAAGAGAAAGTCTTATTCTTTTTTCATAGGACTTGGTCAGGATGCTTTTGTGACTGTCTCCTTCACTATGCCCCTCGCCTGAGCACATCTTGGCGGCAGGTGAGAAGGGCCATTAGCAGACGCCCGCTGTGCAGGGGCGGCACTACGCTGTCCACACACCACCGCCAAACCAGCTTCCATTCTGCAGGGAAAGCAACTCTCACTCCTGGTTTCATTTCTGCTGGGAATATTAGAGATGTGGGCCCATGGACCTGAGAATATTTCGCAGGACAACGCCTTCACTGATTAATACTACCTGCTAAACTAATCCTTACGCTCAAGCTAGGTACAGAAAATATATATTTTCTAATATTTAAAACGGATTCACACTTTATCCCAATAGAAGGTTATATCCCAGGCCTAGGCCATTTCAAAGGGCTATAATATGGAGACAGCCACCAGGCAAATGTTCTTTTATAATTTGACACAGTCCAGGTGTGACCGTGCCAATGATCATGACTACTGCTCAGTCAAGTGTATAACTCTACAAATGAAGAAATGTGTGCTTGTTGTACTGCCCAGATCTACAAATTCCCTAAGGAGTCTTTAAATATAGGTACCTCATAGACGATAGGAAGGAATACTCTAAGGGTGTTTTAACAGTCTTAAGACAGAGAACGGAATTACTGAACTTAAATCTGAAGAGGTCCAATTCTTATACCCCCACTGAACACAGTAAGGAAATACAAACTTGTCCACGGCCATACCACCCTGAATGTGCCTGATCCTGGAAGCTAAGCAGCGTCGGGCCTGGTTAGTACTTGGATGGGAGAAAATATGAACTTAACACAGGCTGCTTCACTAAGATTTCTGGAACTATGTCTGATGTTAAGATAAAATATTACTAATATGAAATTTTGGCACTGATATTCCACAGAGGTTGTATTTTAATATTTTAATCTAATATAATCATAATGACCAACTGACCACTCTATCTAAAAAACGTTCTTCAATTATCTTCTAAGAAAGATATAGTTAAGTATAAATCTTTCTTAACGCTTTTCCTCCTAGAAATAGAGGAGACAGATACAGCACAGGAGAAAGAGAGAACCACGAATAATGGAGAATAGAGAAAATGACTATTGCTGAATGGGAACACAATTTTTTAAAATCTTTGCTACAACTGAAATCAAAAACTTAGTAATTCAGAGATTGCTCTATTTTTTAATACAAATATATCTAATTATTCAAAGTATAAGATACATCTAACATTCAAAGTCTCAGTGGCTGACACGATCACAAACAATAGAAAAAGAACAACACTTAGTAACAAACAATGAGCTTAGGCACGGTTTTACAGATTGTTTTACCTTCAGGAAATCCAGAATCTTTAGAAATTATTAAAATTACAAGGAGGTTAAGTTTTATAAGCTCTTTTCCGCAACTTTGGTTACATGTAACTACATTAAAATACTGACAGTCTTTGATAATGAAGCAGAAACACAGAGTGACAGATTTCTGTTAATCTTTACTCAAGAATGGTATTTAAGCAAAGCCCTCATTCAGTTAGATGTACGCTAATATATGTAAAGAAAACATTCTGATCTTGTAGAGCATCCCCAGGTAATGTTAAGAACTAGATTAAAAAGTATGGAGAACCAGTGCCATTCTGGATGTCCTCAAATTGGGATGTTTCTCAATTAAAGGAGTCATGTTCATGAAATGATACGTCAAAACACAAATTCTTATACGTTAAGTTTCTCTGTTAAGTAAGTCTCTTTCAAATTCTTTAATTAACAGCAATACTTAAAAAAAATCTTCAACTGTAAACTGTTTGCTTGCAGTGTTTTGATTTTTCCTGAACCTTGAATGCTTCAAACTGCCATTAAATATATTATCTTCTGTTTCCTCTTAAAGAGCTGGTGTTCATAAAAGGATCATCGTCGTCATCCTGCAATGACACAAATGTTACATGAGTGGTTGTTCCATGCTTCACTGAGGCAAGACAGAAGTGCTTCTGGGTAAACACCACCACCAGTAAGGGCCATTTCCTCCTTTCACATGAGAAAGGCACTCAGTTTTATATTTCCCTTATAAATATGAACTTTTCCCTTCCCTAGTAGCTTGCTAAGAAGCACTCAAAATAATTGATCCTGATATGTGTGTGTGTGTGTGTGTGTGTGTGTGTGTGTGTGTGTGTGTGTATACACACCTATAATACATACCATACACATTTCTATTAACCGAAAAGGCAAAAAAGATGTGGGGAAGCCAAGAAAATTAATACTCTTCAAATTATTTCTATTTGGTTTTTGAATAGGTTTTTTTCCAATTACATATTATTACTGGTGTTACCTAATGTTCTGGAAACTCACCCCCCACCCCCAAATAATGAAGCCACATGGCCTAACTGAGAAATAGCTGTAATTCTTATCTCCCATTACCTATTTTATGCTAGAGATAGCTAGCTATTCTCAGACTGCTGTAAAAAAACATCTAGCAAATCAATCTTTTAAATGTCTTTTTGGGAAAAGAAGCAGTATGAAAGAGGTCCCTTGCTGGAACTAAGCTGCAGATTATAGGCATACTAAGAGCTGACAGGAATATCAGAAGAATTTAGTTAAAGAGTAGGAAAACTAAAACCTTCGAGAAGCCCAAAATATAAAATTTGATGAGGATAATTTGTTGAATTGCTTTAAGGCAATAACTTTTATTTATTTTTATTTAAAAAGTTATTTAAAAACTTTTAAATATTCAGAAGAGAAAGCAAACTTGCATGTAAAATTTTAATTTATGTTTCTTTTAAGACACTGATAAAAAGGGGTAATTATTTGGTGTTAGGCTTTGTTGGTGGTATTAACACATTCAAATGTTAGCTAAGTTGGCTATCTGGTAAGAAATGGATGCCTTGAAAAATACAAACTCATTCACATTCTTTGATTTATTTTCTGCTATTATCAAAGGCAGAACTTATTAATAAACCAGAAGTAAATCCAAATTGGAGCATAATAATTAGTCAACAGTTTTTCTTTGCAGTTAACATGAACTATATACAAATCTTCAACTGTAACATATAACCACATGTCTATCTAGATGCTTGGGAATTAACAAATTAACGTTAACTGCTCACCCCCCTCCTGGAAAAAACATATTAGTTTTTTCCATAGGTAGATTGAGCTCACGGTGCCATTTTTCTCTGCAGCCTGAACTGTTGGTGAGTCTTCTCCTCAAGCTGGTTCAAAACCTCAGCTGGGATACAGGGACATGATAGCAACAGGTGAAGCTCAAAATGAAAGGTTTGAGTCACACGCCACAGCAGGGGTGGACCTGGAAGACACTGTGCTAAGTAAAATAAGCCAGTCTGAAAAAGACAAAGACTTATGACTCCATTCAGAGCAGGTATCTAAATCAGTCCAATTCACAGAAACAAAAAGAATAGTGGTTACCAGGGGCCGGGAGGAAGGGGAAATGAAGAGTTGTTCCACGGGTGAAGATTTTTAACTCCAAAAGAGGAAAAGACTCTGGAGATCCACGGCCTAACAAGTGAACATACTGAACACGAGGGCACTGCACACCGAACAATGGTTAAGATGGCAAGTTTTACGCCACGTGCTTTTGTCACAATTGAGAAACTTTTAAGTAAAAATAAACAAAAGAGGTTATAGACTTAAGAAAAATGCCTTAAAACAATTCAACAAAAACTAGCAAAGTCCTTTCAAATGGCCTCCATGGAGGAACGGGAAAGGCTAGACTTTATTTAATTCAAGGTAGCTGAACCAACAAACAAATAAAGCCAAGAGGCAAGTCCTGAGTCTGCCTTGTCCTATTCCTTCTTTGCTCCTTTTCTGGCCCAGACTCGACTTGTCTTGACTTGGTTTCTTTCACATATCCTGCCATTTAATATTTCAGTGTATATCTGAACACCTTTGTGAATGAAAATCACCACCACATACCATTTTATATAGGAAATGTGTAAAGCATACAGTGGGTAGTTAACAAATATTTTATTAAAGTAACATTAAAAACTTCAAGAATATTATCGTCACTTCTCCAAATATAAATGACAGATGCTGAAAACAACTATTCTGATCCATTAACAGGGCAAATTATCTTATTTCAAAAATTGGCAGGCCTTTTACGTCCGAGTATTTACACTTACAGGTACTCAACAGATGCTACTTACGGACTCTTAACATCTTAAGTGCAGTTCAAAGGAAGGTTATCAATGAAACTATTTGAAAAAATAATTTCCAGCAACTAGCTTAGCAGTCCCTATTTACATTTTTAAAAAATGTTTATTTATTTTTGAGAGACAGAAAGAGACAGAGAGAGAGAGAGAGAGAAGAGAGTGTCAGAGCAAGCGCGAGCAGGGAGGGGCGGGGGGGGGGGGCAGAGGATCTGAAGCGGGCTCTGTGTTGAAAGCACAGAGCCTGAAGCGGGGCTCAAACTCACAAACTGTGAGATCACGACCTGAGCCACAGTCAGACACTCAATCGACTGCCACCCAGGTGCCCCAGTCCTTATTTAAATTTTATGAATTGCTAAAAATTAATGAAGATTGAATAATATTACTTGATTACCTCATCTGATTCAAAATCGACCCCTTTAGCTATTTGGCTTTGGGACATGCGCTTGCTTGATGATGATGATGTGCTCGGACACCTGAGGAAGAAACATGGAAAAAAGGAAAATGAATCAGAATTCATCAGAAGTGCCTTTTTAGCTAAATGTTTCATTCTAGTAGCAGCCACGAATAAAATTAGGTAATACCTTCCCTTTAATGTACATTAGCAGCATAAAAACTTAATGGTGAGAAAAAGGACTCTGGGGCCAGGGTTTGAATTCCAGTTTTGTTGTTTACTAGCTATGTGGCTTTAGGCAAGTTACTTAGCCTCTCTGCCTCAATTTCCTCATCCATAAAATGAGGATAATAATTTTTAGAGATTAATTGTGTTACTATACTTACTCAGATCAGTGCCTGACATACATTAAACACTACACTGATACTTGCTTGTTAGTATAGGGCTCAGCATGTTACTAACATGCGTCTACTACCAACCCCCACTCCTAAAAATTGTGGCAACACTGAAATACTTTTTATTCAAATATCAGTTATGTCTCTTCAACAGGCTAAAACGATTTTAGGAAAGGCTCACTGCTTTCTAGGGTTGCGTCATTATATGATTTGTGTTCAATCCAAAGCAAATAGGAAATATAAACTGAGTGTCTGTTCTTTTCCAGGTACTCTGATAGGTCTTGGGAAATATCAGCGTACAAGAAGATCAAGATTCCCATCCTAATGAAGCTTAACTTGTGCTAATTAATGAAATTTATATTCGTATGTCTTTTTATCCATAAGAATTCTGTCTTCTTAGATCACTAGCACATGCAGCCTATCCAGCCTGCCTGGTTTTCTACTGCCTGTGAGCTAAGAATGGTTTCACATTTTGATATGGGGTACATTTAGATGGTTATATAAATACCTACAGAATATCCTCAGTTTTGCCTCTTGGTCTGAAAAGCCTAAAATATTTATTATCGGGCTCTTTAAGAAAGTTTGCTGACTTCTCTCTTAAATGAAAGCAGCATTTGTCAATTCTTAGTCAATAATTTATTATTATGCTTTGGGATGTTATTACAGCAAAGGAAGTATGTCTGAAGGTCTTGTCTGGAAAACAGGTTGAGAATCAAGCGGTCTTGTGTCAGAAGGAAAGTGAAAAATCCACAGGTTGTTATGCATAAAAGTAAAGGACACGAGGATTTGTCAAGCAAACTTGAAGAACAACATGGTTTTAGAAGTACAGACCGAGGACATTTATCAAATGATCCATTTGGGGAGTGCCCATCTCTATCTATACTTGACCCAAGCAGGAACTACCTGATCAGTTGTTGACTTGCTTCTATCTGTGACAGGAAGCAGATCAAGAGCATAAAGTCATAGTGCCCAGGTGGCAAAGTTAGGTTAGAAAGTTCTTGTTGGGGGCCTGGAGAAAGGGGTGGGGTTTATGGAAACACCCACTGAGATGTGACTCTGCCTCTGATGTCTCCCCAATAACCAATGGAACCCAGAGACAAGCCAGTCATCTATGATGGATGGTGGCTCATCTTATCATAACAAGAATCCTAGTTCAGAGATCCCACAGACCTACAGATCTCATCTGTGAAGCATCCCCTATCCTTAGAAATCAGCAGAGGGGAGGGAAAGAAATAAAGGGAGAAGGGTGTATCAAATCGAGTGCCAGGAGTTGTGTAAGTTTTCTCCATTTTTGTTCAGCTAGCATTTGGGGCCATAAATTAGAGTTCCTCGTCTAGAGATGTTCAGCCAGTAAGCCAGTTGTAGCAGTGTTATAAACACAGGGCAACAGGTTAAATTGGCCTTATATTGTGCCTGGTACATAAAAGGTGCCACAAAAACCCTCGTTCCCTGCCACTGCAACGTTCAATAGAATCCTCTCAACCTCTGCTCCTCCCCCTGGCCCAGTGGGGCTGGGTCTTCTTGTACTTGCTGCTTTAAAGGGAGGGTCGTTACTATCCGCCAGCTCTATCAAACCTGAAGGGCCCTCTTATTCTCAGCACAAGGACAGAGTTTGGAACGACTTTTTCCAGGGAAAAGCAGGCTTTCCATTGCCTATTTGGCAGAAAGGAATCTTACAGCTGGAAGCTATTTCTGTTTTCAAGTTAACTGCAAGCATATTAGTGCTTTCGCTGCTTACCCTTCCTCCTGTTATGCTTGTTTTCCCTAGCGTGTTACTTAATTTATTTAATAAGCACTTACAGGGCTGTTATTGTGTGCCAGGCACTGTACTTAGTCCTTGATAAACGTGAACTCACTTAAGCTTCATAACCCTATGAAGTAAATATTAGTATATTCATTTTATAAATGAAGACACTCAGGCACAGAAAAGTAAAAAAAAAAAAAAACAAAACAAAAAAACTTGCACAAGGTCCATACCTAGGAAGCAGCAGAGCTTAACTGCTGTAAATTATAATCAGGGTAACCATACAAACCCTGCCATTAGTAATATAATTCTTCAAAACCAGCCTAAATCATGTCATTCAGTTGCTGTCATCAGAAATACCAATCTGCCATGGCTGATTTCAGATCTACTGCCAAAATGTTAATTTCTAAATTGCCTCTCATCATTTAAATGATTCTTGCTGCCTGCACAACGGTTTGAGAGGTTAATCTATTAAGTTCAGAAGTGACAACAGAGACAGTTCTGAAGCAGAATGTCTTGGCTGTGTGACTAGCTGGGTCATCTTAGGTAAGCCACTTAACCTATTGTGCCTCGCCTTCTTCAAAGGTACAATGGAGATAACAGTTTTTTGTTTTTTTTTTTTAATATTTACTTATTTTTTGAGTAAGAGCGAGCCCATGTGCAGGGTGAGGGGCAGAGAGAGGGAGAGACAGAATCCCAAGTAGGTTCTGTGCTGTCAGCACAGAGCCCGATGTGGGGATAGAACTCATGAGCCTTGAGATCATGAACTGGGCCGAAATCAAGAGATGGGTGCTTAACCGACTGGGCCACCCAGGCACCCCAGGATAATGTAGCTCTAACCATGAATACCTGGCATGGCTGTGAGCACCAAACAGGCTAATTCACATGTAAAGACTTGGAAGAGTGCCTGACCGAGCAATTCAGTTACTATTATTACCTCATAGATAAATAAGAAGTCAACATTTATTCTTCTGAAAAGTAGACCACCCAAAATGGCAACCACATCATGAGTTTTTAATACCCTGAAAATATATGTCAAACATACTGAAGTTGCATTTTCACCATCCAATAATGAAAAATAAAGACTTCATGCAAGCTAAACTTCTTTTTCCTCTCAACTACTGAGGCGCCACTGAAAAAACCTGCAAAGGCTACACCTGTTTTTGTGTGTTTTAATTCACAGATTTTGTCTTTTTTTTTTTTTTTTCCAACGTTTATTTATTTTTGGGACAGAGAGAGACAGAGCATGAACGGGGGAGGGGCAGAGAGAGAGGGAGACACAGAATCGGAAACAGGCTCCAGGCTCTGAGCCATCAGCCCAGAGCCTGATGCGGGGCTCGAACTCCCGGACCGCGAGATCGTGACCTGGCTGAAGTCGGACGCTTAACCGACTGCGCCACCCAGGCGCCCCACAGATTTTGTCTTTAATTAAAGACAAGAATGACCGAACAAGTATGGATATTCTTTCAATAAATCTCCTTCTCCTTAAGCAAATTTGAGTTACGTTTCTATCGACTGGAACCAAAGGAGTCCTGATTGATACTGGACTCAAGTTGAAGACAGTAACTCAAGACTGAGAAATTCAAGTAAATCTTTCTATGAGCTAACTACCTCAATGACCCTCAACTACGGACTGCAAATATACAATCTAACCTGCGTCTGAGCCCATCACAGTATTGTGTACTCCTTCTACAAAGGCTGGCATTGGCCTTGGCAACTCTATACTCTCCTGGGTCTTTCTCAGGTCCTTCTTGTTGCCTTTTCTACTTTTCCTAAATTCGAAAGGTTGAAACCCAGGTACTGGAACACAAGCCCTCTTTTGTCTCTACCTTCTCTTTCGAGGTGATCAATCCATTCCAATGGCTTCATTAAGTATCAGTGTATCAGTTATATGCTGCTTAGAAGTAAATTTTGTGATCATCCTAACCTCTGATCTCAGCTCTGGACTCAGATGTCCAATTGCCTATAACCAACCCCCTTCAAGTCAATTTCGCAGGCATCTCAAACTTTCCATGTCTCAAGCGGAATTTTTGATTATCTGCCAATCATCCTTTACGAGAATCTGTTTCTCTTCTTTTCTGCCTTTCTCAGTGTATGGCAGTAAGTGTTCAAATAGGAAACCTGGAAATCAACCCTGGTACGCCATTCTTCCTCACTCCAAATGTTCAATCCATCCCCAACTGCTGTCATGTCTACCTCACAACATAACCTGAAACCATCTATTCTCTCCCTTTCCCCTGCTACCACTCTGGCGCAAGTCTCCATCATCTCTCTTCCAGGGAGTCCAGGGACTCCCCACAGCAGCACCGGCCTTTCAGGTCACCCAGCTGGTGCCCTGCCTCCTGCACCACAGGGAGCCTTTAGAAATGTAAATCCCACGGAGCCACTACTCTCCCCAAATCCTTCCGTGTTCCCCCTGCATTTATAATAAAGTCCGAATTCCTTACCTTGCTCAACTGTTCCTGCTTCATGATATACTCCTGCCTCTCCTATTCTTATACCAACTCCCTTCTTTCCCATGTTTTAGTCTCCAGTAAGCTTGTTTCTTCTTCAAGAGACTTCTACATGTGCCTTTCCCTGTGCTTTAGGCAAGGCCACGTCTCTTTCAGTAAGATTTCAGCCTAAACGTATCCTCCTCAGAGGCCTTTCCGGATCACCCTTTCAGAGCAGATGTCTGTGGCCTATGACATTACTGTTTACTGCTGCATCCTGTTAACTTTGTAGGGGCCAAGAGCAGGCCACACCAAGATGGGCCACTCTGGCATGAAGATTATTTTGAGTTAAGAAGCAATCAAACCCCAGCAGATTCAGGAAAAGCTCTTTACCTCTCCCTCAAATGCTTACAAAGAGTTTAGTAGAGGACCTGTTCCAGAAAGAAAGCTATCACCATAGATAATTACATTATGACATATATTAAGGTATGACAGGAGAAACCTAGCAAGGCCTGTTTGATCAAAGTCCTCTTTGTCCTACTGATTCTGAATGTCCCGGCAAACATTTATTTACTAAGCATTTACACTTTTATAATCTTCTTGTGAACTGCTTTCCTTCCCTTTGCCATCCCAGACCCCCATCCCCTTCTCCTTAGTTCAGAATGACATATATATTTGGAATTGCCATGTTTGTGTGGATTACCCCCATGTACAAAATTAAATTTGATTTTCTCCTGTTAATCTGTCTCACATCAATTTGGTTCTCAGCCCAGCTAGAAAGACCTTCAACGGCAGAAGAAATTCTTTACAATTTCCTTTAAGCATTTCTACACATCTGTTGATCATTGGCCCAGATGTGACCTACCTTCTTTGTGAAGCCTTCAATGACCTATTCTAGGAAGACACTGTCACTTCCCTCAGATTTCAATGCACTGGAATAAAACATTCATCTTGTTGGATTATTAGTGCCTTATAATTAGTGTACTGCTAACGTGGAAATTCCTTGAAGGAAGGAAACATTTCTTTTGTATTTCTAGCCCCAGCTCCTAGCATACTGTTTAACCCTAGAAATAGGTGGATAGGGAACTATACCTACCAATTTTTCCAACACAGACCCGTAATTCACATAAAGCATATATTCTCGGTGGGGTCAACATCACACCCAAGGAATGAAAACTGGTCCCGGGAGATGGGGTGGGTGAAAAATACGGAGATACTACAATGGTTTTGACCCTTCCCAAACTCAACCCTACCCAGCAAAATTTCATTCTTTAGCATTTAATTTCTCTTGTTAGGGAGAAATTAAATTTAGGCTATTTTAATTAATTTAAGTCGAATTTAATTTTTATCCTTAGGTAACGAAAAAAGGCTGAGATCATGAAAAACAGTGTGAGAAACACGGAGGCAGAGTTTTTTCTCATTCTCCCCCTTAGTGCCACAGCTCCTGCTCAGGCCATCACTCTCAGCTGTCCTTTTCCACCTCTTTGCTCCAGATGATTCCTATCTTCAAAATCTCAGGTAGATTTTAGTCATTCTATAAAGCCTTTTCTTTTTTCATAGCCCACAATTCTTGCTCCGTTTTCTAAGGGCCTATAAGCACTCACACCTAGTCTGTATCATAAAATTTCGCACACGATTATGTACTGACTCATCATCCTTTAATGGACTGAAATGTGTTCATCTCTCTTTTCCACTATAATTTATGCTGCCTAAAGGCAATAACCATGCTAAAACATATATTATGTCCCCCATCAGACCTAATTTAATGTTCACACAGAAAATTTGTGTTAAGAGAAGCTCTTGATTATTTTCTTAAGTAGAAATTTTCATTAACTGAGCTTACGTTAAGCAGTGTTCCCCTGAAACATGAACACAGAGAACATGGCAATAGTGAATTAAGTCAACCCTTACAGTAACAGCAAAAATGGCAAAAACCAAAAGGACAGGGAAAAGCACACAAGTGCTTCAAGGGCAGAAAAAGCCAACATGATCCTCTTTTCAGTGTTTATTTAGCACAGCACCCTGTGTAACTCAGTATATAAAAATGTGATAACAAAGAAGAGAAGCTGAAATCAACTATAAACAAATATACAAAATTATTTTCTGTTAATTAGAGAGAATACAGAACTCCATCGGGAAAATCTTTGGGTAACACAGACAAAAGGAAACAGATTACAGGGTAAGTTCCGTTGAAAATCACTTGTAATGATGCTGCACCAACTCTGTGAACCAGCCTACCATCTATTTTTCACTTCTCTATTTACTTGACCAGTTGGAAAATAAATCTGTTAAAAGTTCTATGGCACAGAAAAATGTGTAAGTAGAGCTCTGAATAATGTTAAATTTCTTCAGATGTTTCTTTCTGCACAAAGTCACCGTACCTACCTCTGCTCTGTTTTTGAAGTGGTAGGAAACATGTCTTCTTCATCCGTCTCATCCACCTCAATCACCTAAGGGACAAACAAAACAGGGAGTAGTTTTTATGGGAATGGAACACCTGAATAAGAATAAGTCACCGAGGGGCGCCTGGGTGGCGCAGTCGGTTAAGCGTCCGACTTCAGCCAGGTCACGATCTCGCGGTCCGTGAGGATTCGAGCCCAGCACGTCATTCTGAGCTGATGGCTCCAGAGCCTGGGCCTATTCCTAGAACCATGTGTCTCCCTCTCTCTGCCCCTGACAACCTGTCTCTCGTCCCAAAATAAATAAAGCGTTGAAAAAAAAAAATTAAAAAAAAAAAAAAAAAGAATAAGTCACTGAGGGGCGCCTGGGTGGCTCAGTCAGTGATGGCCTGACTTTAGGGTCATCGCATCTCTGTCTCGATATCGTGGTTAGTCTGCATCAGGCTCTGTGCTTATGTAGCACTCAGAGCCTGGAACCTGCTTCGGATTCTATGTCTTCCTCTCTCTCTGCCCCTCCCTGGCTTGGGCTTTGTCTCTCTCTCTTTAAAAAAATACATGTTTAAAAAAAAAAAAAAAAAAAAAAAAAAAAAAAGAATAATTGAATCTCAAGAAAAATCTTTTTTTTTTTTAATTTCATTTTTTATTTTTCTAAACTTACATCCAAATTAGTTAGTATATAGCAAATGTTCGGGATAGACTTCCTTAATGCCCCAACCACATTTAGGCCATCCCCCTCCCACAACCCTCCCTCAGTTTGTTCTCCGATGTAGAGGTCTCTTCCTGTTTTGTCCCTCCCTGTTTTTGTTTTATTATACTGTTTCCCCTTCTCTACTGTTCATCTGCTTTTATATACTTAAAGTCCTCATTAGACCAGTGAAGTTATAAGATTTTTATCTTTCTCTGACTAATTTCACTTAGCATAATACCCTCCAGTTCCATCCACGTAGTTGCAAATGGCAAGATTTCATTCTTTTTGATTGCCAAATAATACTCCATTATATGTATGTATGTGTGTATATATATACATATATATGTACGTATATACATATTCTTTTATATATATACGTACATATATATGTGTGTGTGTGTATATATATATATATACACATATATATGTACGTATATATATATTCTTTATCCATCGATGGACATTTGGGCTCTTTCCATAATTTGGCTATTGTTGATAGTGCTGCTATAAACGTGGGGGTGCATGTGTCCCTTCCAAACAGCACACCTGTATCCCTTGGATAAATGCCTAGTAGTACAATTGCTGGGTCATAGGGTAGTTCTATTTTTAGTTTTTTGAGGAACTTCCATACTGTTTTCCAGAGTGGGTGCACCAGCTTGCATTCCCACCAACAATGCAAAAGGGATCCTCTTTTTCTGCATCCTCGCCAACATCTGTTGTTGCCTGAGTTGTTAATGTTAGCCATTCTGACAGGTGTAAGGTGGTCAAAAATAAATGTTTAAAAAATAATTAAAAAAAAAAAAGAATAATTGAATCACAAGAAAAATCTTTTTTAAATATACCAAAAAAGTCACAAAAAAAAGGGGGCAGAAACCCCATGAAGAGCAACTGTTAAAACTGAAGCTTAGCCTGACCTCCCTCCAATGTCTTCAATCATAAATGGTATTCTTTCTATACGTGTTTGAACTCGCCTTTCTCTTGGACACCACGGCAGCCATGGCACCTAAGGTGAATGACTCACATAGGGTCACGTGCAGACAGTGCCTGTGATTTTCTTGGGTTCTAGTGAGGAGACCATTTCCAGTTTAAAATTTGGTATAAGACCATGTGGAAAGTACTGTATATCTAGCGTTCTATGACATTCATCCCTGTTAAACACCATTTGGTAGTTTTAGGCCCCAGTAAAGATATTTGTGATTCTTGATACTAACATCCAAAATACTACTTCTTCCTCTACATTTAGTGTTATCTTGACATTTAATACACTTAGTTGCTATGTCGTCTACTAACTAATGAAGCCGAGGACAAAACAGTGAAAAGACAGCACCTGAGATCTCCCCCTCCAGGCTGACACTGAACTATTAATAAAAAAATCATTAAATGCAGTTGTCTAAGAAGCTATGAATCCAGCCAATATTTCTGCATTGTCATAAAACTATCAGAAGATTGTCTTCCGTGCCTTGAAGGAATCAAATGTATTCAATACTCCTCTAATCTACCAATGTGTAACCACAGTTAAAAAGTGAAAAAAAAGTTAGTTTAGCACCACCTGTTCCTTTTGAACTCATGTTCCTGCCTTATACTAGAAAACTCTAGGAAAGAAGCTACTGTGTGGATGTGATGATAATTTTTTTAGATATGATGATCTTGAAGTGACAGCAGACAACAGTTGAATGTAAATAATAAAATGGAGCTCAGGACAAAAGCTAGCACTGGTACACTCACGTATCAGTGACAACAGGAAGAAGGGGGGGGGAAGATGAAGAGAGACAAAAGAACAAAATGAAAATCAGGACAGAAGTTTCCTGGAGAAGTGGGGTGATCAATTGTGTCACATACTCAAAACATTAAAAGAAATTTGAGAAAATGCTGCTGGGGCAGGTATTATACAGACCACAGATTCTCAACTGGAGGGGATTTTTAACCCCCACTCCTATTCTGGAAACTTACGTCTGGAGACATTTTTGGTTGACACAATTAGGGGGGCTTGCTACTGGCATCTAGAGGGTATAGGCCAATGCACAGAACAGTCCCTCACAGTAAAACTCACCTGGTCCAAAACTTATCTGGTCAGTAGTGCTGCTACTGAGAAGCCCTGACACAGAAGGAAGAACACTGGCTTAGGAGTGAGTGGGTTTTGAAAGTAAGGAAATAGGGGAGTCAAGCCCATACAAATTCTTGGAATCCAAAGGAGGTGCAGAGGGCCTATGTTTAAATCTGAACACAGAGGTCCTCAGATTCTGACTGCTTGGTTTGTCTTGAGTCTAGCTCCAAGCCATCAAGGCACAAGCCATAGTATTACGAGAGTATAAATAACAAAAGATAGCCAGATTTACTAAGACCTCTATATGCACTGAACTCCTATGTGCGATATTAATATTCCACACACGGACCTTTCTGGCTCAACACTGTTATCCTTAAAAATATTCCTGGATACATACATTTATGGCTTTCTAATCATGAGATCCATTATTAAAAAAAAAAAAAAATCCCAGAAGCACTGTCTTGATAATTCATAAAGTTCTCCCTAGCTTTAACACTCCACACTTATCCTTCTCTTGTTTACTTTGTTGATCAAAGAATTGACAATTCAGAATGCAGGAGCATAAATTATTAAAAACCAATTATAAAAACTTTTTTCTTACCTCTGTATAATTCTTAGTAGCAACATTTCGGGAAGGCTGCTGTCTTGCAGATTTAAAGGCTATGATACAAAAGAAGAAACATACATTATGTTACTCTTGAAATAACTTAGGAAAATTTGTCACATCTTTAGGTGAAGATTTTGTAAGCTCTATCTACAAATATCCATGATGACCAATTATAAAACCATTTCCTATTGTGTAAAATCTAAAGGGACATCAAATTATATGTTCAAATAAATCAATGCCTAGCTGCCAGTATCACGATTTCCTGGCTTAATTCAAATATAGTAACAAGCAGTGTTCATAAACATACCTACACTAAAAACATTTTATAGAAAAATACATGAAAGCTAAAATCTGATCACCTAATTGATTTAACTCCACGTACATTGAAGGTGACCCTTCTTTCTCTTATAAAAGGCAGAAGGTGCCTTCTTTCTCTTATAATTGGCAATACCTTTCCCTAGGGCTACATTAGGAGCCATGTGGTTCCAGTAAGAGCTTTCTTATTCTCCTCTACTTTGTTAGCCATATTCTGTACCTAAGGAACAGTCCAGAGGAAAATTCTAGAAAACAGTGTATCTTCTATGCTATTATAAAACTTCCCTTTAAATCCTTACATTTTAGCTTTATAAAATTAGTTAGAATCATGAAGTTTAGCTAACCCTTCATTTTTCCAAAGACCAAAACCATGATTTTCAGATTTTATAATAAGAAATACAGGGGCACCTGGGTGGCTCAGTCGGTTAAGCATCTGACTTCGGCTCAGGTCGTGATCTCACGGTTTGTGAGTTCGAGCCCCGCGTCGGGCTCTGGTGCTGACAGCTCAGAGCCTGGAGCCTGCTTAGGATTCTGTGTCCAAGAAATACATATTTGGTCTTTGTCCCCATCTGTGGCAGAGCTCCTAAAACCCTAGGAATTTCCTAAGTAATGAGCGCTGTAAAGGTGTCTTTTGCTATGTTAATGAAGTGACTTTAGGACTACACCTACAGCTGAGGGCTGCTTACCTAGGGAACCAACTGGAAATCAAAGGTTGGAACTCAGTCCCACCCTATGATTTCCAAGAAAGGAGCCTGGAGCCAGAGGTGCAATCAATTACCAATGGTCCATGATTTAATCAATCAGTGGTAAGGAGGCTGCTTTAAAAACCCAAAGGAGGGATCTGGCGAGCTTAAAGGTAGTGAATCAGAAAGCTTCCACATGCCAGGGTGCCAGCCCCTGAACTCCCTGAGGATACAAGGACTTTCCCTTTCATATCTCTTTATCTGGCTGCTGATCTGTATCCTTTAATATCCTTTGTAATAAACCAGTAATTTAGTGAATAAATTAGTTTCCTGAGTTTTGTGAACCACCCTGGCAAATTAACTAAACCCAAAGAGGGAATTATGGGAAAAACTGATTGAGAGCCAGTCAGAAGCACAAGTTTAACCACGCAGACCTATGATTAGCACGTGAAATGGAAGCAGCCCTTAACCCATGGAATGCGACGCTACCTCTGGGTAGGCAGTGTCAGAATGGAATTGAATTGTAGGAAACCCAGCTGATGTCCAAGAATTGCTTGGTGGTGTGGGGAACTAACCCCTCTCCTCCAAAAAGCCCAGAATTGGGTGCATAATATTTAAAACCCAGAAGAAACTTCAAAATGCCAATTAGAGGTTTATTTTCTCCCAAGCTTTACCAGCTTGTTTCCCCCCAAAACAACCCCCAAACTAAACAACAAGGGAAGAGGAGGAAAAAAATATACGAGGCTTTGAAAAAGTCAAACACTCAAAGAATCCCACAAAGCTAAAAATTACCGTCGTCTGAAAACTCAGGAATCTTTCTAGCTAGCCTAAATTTATGACCTGCTCATTTTTCCTATTCCAAGCTCTATTCCCAGTCTTGTGATGTCTATTTGAGAACAGAGATCAAGAGCAGAAGCAAAGGTCTTATCTACTCTACTCTCAATTACTGGAGCCTCACATTCTAACCCTATTCAAAAGACCTTTAAATAAGGGCAACTGAATAAAAAAAGCCAGCCATCATGACTCTTAAAGCATATTTCTGCTCAATAATTATTCACTAATTGACTCCTCAAACTCTCAGATCCTTGAAAACAGGAGCCCTATCTTTTTATCCCCAACAAGTATCAGTGAGGTAAATTAAATCATCAGAAAAATGTGCACTGAGTTCTGTTAGGAAGCAATACAGTATGGTGGTTGTAGGGTTAAACTCATTTGACTTACTAGCTGGGTAACTATAGCCAAGGCCCCCTGGCTTCCTTAAGTCTCAGTTTCCCCACCTATACAATAGTGTTAATAATTCATGCAGAAAACGGTTGAGAAGATAAAGAGAGGCAGTTCATGTAAATCGTTTGGGCAAGTGCCTAGATGTAGCAGGCATTCAAATAATGTGGCTAGCAGCAGTGGTAGTAGATGGAGTAGGGGTAGCCAGGATGGTAAATTAAATCCGAACACAGAGTCGTTAGAGGTACCACTCACTCAGTCACCATCCTCTACAGAAAACCTTCACTGGAAAACTCTGGGCTGTCAACTCTTACTTATAACTGTTGCTGGCTGTAAGTGTAATATCTACCTTTCCCAATACAATTCCGGTACAATAATAAATCTCTACACTCCATGGGGCTTGTTATAATAGAATTTTACCTTTATGTATCTCTTCATACCTCCATTTACAGTAGGGAACTGGAAGCTACAGTTTTAAAGATGCTTTTGTCCTGAAGTTATAGTAGATACAGTTAGTACCCCATGGTTATTTTGTCAGAGACTTACCACCAAATCTAACCTAATGAAAATGTTTTACACATGTGTGTTAAAAAGTCTATTTCACTTTTCAAAAAAAGTCTCAATGTTGGAGACAGTTCAATTGTAAATCCATCAGACCAAATGAATTTACATAAAAGACAAATTTAGACTAACATTTATAAAACATCCATTTTCTTAAGTTTATTGTAAACATTGCCACTAATACTAATAGCAGCAATCATTCCCTTGGATTCTTACTAAATCCTGTGCAAAGTAATGTACATGTGTAAGTTTTTTTGATACTTCGAACTTCTCTGTGGAGTCAATTTTATACTGGCAATTTTATAGCTAAGGGATCCGAAGCTTATAGAATAGAAACAGTCTACTCTTACTGGGGGCTTAATATGTATATATACTACACCAAATATTCCACATGTATTTTCTCATTAATCTGCAAAATAACCCAATGAGATCAATGCAATCATCACCCCATCTTACAGATGAGGACACTGAAGATGGAAAGCCTAATTAATGTGCTGAAAGACACATAGCTAGTAAATCAAGGAGTCAGAATTCAAACCAATAGCTCTGACTTTAGAACCATGCTTTTAACCTTTATGCTATACAATCTCTAAGGGGTTTTTATTCAGTCGTTCTCCAGTATTTAATGGGCATCTGCTCTATGCCAGGCACTATGGATACGGTGATGAAAAAGAATGACTCAGTCCCTGTTCTGCCGGTGCTTGCCGGGGCAAGGGCATGGAGGCAGCCAGTGAAGAGCTGGCCGACCATACCATGTCAGACTCCAAACCCCAGGTTCTTAACCTCACCATCTGCTGCAAAAGACACCACATTTAGATTTTCTCCTAAACATAATTCAGGAAATCTTAAGTTTCACATTAATTTGTCTTTTATCTACAGCTGCTTTTTACAAATGACTATTATTACTTTAAAAAAAATGAACATCGGTGAACATTTTAAGGCACTATAACTGGTCTCTTGTCTTCTCTATGCAAACAGAAGCTTTACTCCACATTATCAATGGGTAACAGCAGGACTCAGGAAAGACGGTCTTTGGAAAGCCTCACAAGCGCAGTAGTTCTGAAAGGAGCTGATGGCAGAATGTGAAAAAATGCTCACAAAAAACCGTATGAGATAGAAAGTTTTAGATGCAAAGGAGGCAGTCACATGTAAGTTTTAAAGAAAGAAAACACGGATAAAACCTCTGCTACTTGTTTACTGGGGGCTAGGTTGTTGAGACAAACACTGCTGCTCAAAGCAACCCAAAATGCTCCATCAAACATTAAAAAAAAAAAAAATTCTGAATGGTATTTAATTGCTGATCACATAAAGAAGTAACAGGCAAAAATGGAAAAAAAGCTTGAACTCAGAGAATCAAGCAGAATCCTTTTTCCTGGGGACCTGTTGATCCGGACAAATGTTCACACTGGTCTTGACAGCTCTGTATAGAGAAAGGAAGAGCTATCTACAATAGGTCAAGGCCTGCTCAAGACAAGGTGGGGGTGGCTAATGCATTTCCTCCCTACCTTAAGCTGGGACCCCAACAGTTAAGAGGGAAGCAGATGTAAATAGGATTTTGCAAGTACATATCAGCTGGCTGAACCTCAAGTCATAAATTTAAACATAGTTTAATGTGGTCTAAGACTTGTGGTGCCCCCAGAGGCCTGGAGAAACAAATAGGAATCATGTCTGGAGGACCTTACCTTCATCCTTGACCTCAAATTATTCCTGCTGAGATTTTTTTAGGGACAACAGATAACAAAACACGCAAGGAAACATGTCACCATACATGAGAAACAACGGACACAGAAATCAGAAATAGACAATAAAAAGAGGCCAAAGACATTCAGACACTAGGTTCTTAGACACAGAATAGAAAACAAGTATCCTTACTATGCACACACACAAAATTACAGACAGGCTTAAAAATACCTGCAAGGAATTTTTAAAATCACACAGCATATTTCAAAAGAACTATGTGAATTTCTACCTCCACAAAAAAAAAACAAAAAAAAAAAAACAATGAAAATTAAACATTTAAAGGACACCTTTAAGAATAGGTGGGTGTGGGGAGCCTGCCTGACTCTGTGGGCAGAACATGTGTCTCTTACCTTGGGGGCTGTAAGTTCGAACCCCACAGTGGGGTTAGAGTTTACTTTAAAAAAAAAAAAAAAAAAAAAAAAAAAAAAAAAAAAAAGATGGGTCAATCGGAAGATCACACAGCACAGGAAGATAAAACAATGGAAGATACAAGAGAGATTAATAGTCACTTGGGGACAGAGTGATTCTTGTATTCTTGTATTGATTCTTGTATTGTATGTAAGTGAAGACCCAGAAGGGAGGAGAAAAAGAAGAGCACAGGGGTAGTATCTGAAGGGAGAGAACTCGTAGGAGTGATGAAAGACACCAATTCAGTTTCATAGAGCCCAATAAAGGCTAAGCAGGATAAAAGAGAATCCCCTATCTAGATTCAATGTAGAGAAACTGCAGAACACCAAATACAGCTGGCTGGAGGAAAAACAGACTACTTGGGGCGGGGGG